TAGGACGATATCTTGAACATAACAATGGATCCTTATTCTTTTTCAAAATTAGAGATATTGAAGCCTGGTTAAGCAATTTAAGCAGTTCAAACGATTCAATAAACATTTCAATCAAAATAGGTGCTAATTTATCAAAGAAAATCTTATAAAACTCCACTGGAAAACCATCTGGACCTGGACATTTCCCAGATTGCATGGATAGTGTGGCTCTTTTAAGTTCGTCCACAGTAATTGGCTCTTCCAGTCTCTGAACTGAGACTGGGTCCACTTTAAATAAATCTAATGAATCGAAAAAACTGTCAAACGAAGATGAATCTGTCTCTAACTCTGAGGAATATAAGGAGGATTAAAATTGTTTAAAATGGTCATTAATTTCTAATGGATCTGTTGTTAGGCCACAAGAGGTATGAATTTGTAAAATTTGATAAGAGGAGGAGGCCTGCCGTAACTGACGAGCTAAGAGTTTGCTGGACTTGTCACCATATTCATAATGTGAATGTTTAGCTTTAAGTAACAGGTCCTCCACTTCATTAGTAGTAAGGGTATCAAACTCTGCCTGAAGAGAAAGACGCTCCTTGTATAAGTTTGGGGACGGACAGGAGGCATAAACCTTATCAAGCTGACCGATACGTTGGCTTAATTCTTGTAACTTATTTCTCCTTTGCTTATTCTCAAAACTGCAATATGAAATAATTTCACCTCTTATGTACACCTTCAAAGTTTCCCAAAGAAGTAAAGCTGAAACCCCTGGAGTCCTATTAACAGAAAGAAAAAAGTCAATTTGAGTAGAAACAAAGTTGACAAAATCCCTGTTAAGTTCAATTTTGCCCCATTGCTGACTCGGATTCAGGAAGATTTTAATCGCTGGTCGTTATTGCCCTTGTCCCTGATAGCCCGGGTTAACGTGGTCAAAATGACTATTCTCCCCAAATTGTCTTATCTTTTTCATTGCATGCCAGTATTTCTTCCTCAAACCTTTTTTTCCAAAACTGGACTCTTTAGTTTCAGAGTTTATTTGGAATAAGAAAGTTCCTCGACTCAGGAGAGAACTTTTACAGAATCCAAAGTCCCTTGGTGGTTTGGCCTTGCCTAATTTCAAGTTTTACTATTGGGCAACAAATATCAGAATAATTCATTTGTGGACTCATCTAGAAGCGCAACCAGACTCTCCATCATGGCTGAATATGGAGTCAGTTTCTTCTAAACCGGCTTCATTGATGGCCCTCACTCATACTCCTCTTTCTTTTGCACTCTCCCCCTATTGTAAAAACATTCTATACTCAGCAAAAAAAGAAACGTCCCTTTTTCAGGACTGTGTATTTCAACAATAATG